GTTCATTGCGCTTCATAGATGGGCAAGAATAACTACACAAAAATAAAATAATTTTAAAAATATGAACATAGAGAACAATAAAAATTATTAAAAAAATAAAAATAAAAATTTAATAGAAAATATAGGAAACTATATTCAAATTATATAAAATAATAAATTAATGAAATAAGTAGAAAATATCAACGGATGATGCTAAAGATAATAGTTAAACCCTATGTAAATCTATTCTACATATTAGTGCGATCAGAGATGCTTTCTCTCTAGAATTCTTGAGTTCCTATCCTTATTCATGCTTCGCAATTCACACACACACACACATATATATATTATATACATATATATATTATTTTATTCCCTTGGATGATACAATTGAAAATTTTAGAAAGGTTTTCTTTAAATTTGCTCTTTGCGCGAATTCTTCTCTCTCTACACTTGTAATCTTTGAGAGTAATATACTATATTCCATGATATACATAAGATAAAGGAATGTGTCATCTTTATCTAAAATTAGACGGAACCCTTAGATGGTCACCCAGACAAATCTTCAATGATCTCTGCCCTTGATTTTCACTCCATCTCCTTCTCACAAGTACTCTTCTCTCCCTTAAATCTATCTATTTTCTTTATTTTCTTTCTATTTTTCTTTCTTTATTTGTTTATCCTTATGTACTTTCTTTCTCAATGTCCTCTCTACGTCTCTCTTTCCCTTAAAAGATAGAATTTGATACCCAGTGCTTCTCTCTTTATCTCTCGCCCCACATACTTTCTCTCTCAATGTCCTCTCGACTTCTCTCTATCCCTTAACGGTACGATTGGGCCTCGTGGATTTCTCTCTTTATCTCTCTCTCCCCATGTACTTTCTCTCAATGTCCTCTCCTGATCTCCCTCTCCCTTAAAGATAGGATTACGCACCCTGAGTTTCTCTCTCTCTCTCTCCTCACTGTGATAACCCTCTTTCTCTTTCTTAAATATTATTTTTTGTATTAAAATATGTGCATACTCTCTGTCCGCTAAAATAGGTGCCTAATCTATCTCTAAAAGATGAGAATGTATCATATCTATAAAATTCGGAACCCTTCTTATTTTCTCGACATGTGTCCACCCATGTAAGTTCTCTCTCAATATCCTCTCCAGGACTTTCTCTCTCCTTTGAAGATAGGATTAGGCACCTTAGATTTTTCTCTTTATCTCTCTCTCCCCCACATATATTCTCTCTCAATAATCTCTCCGCATTTTTCTCTCTTAAGGATAAGATTAGGCACCCTAGGTTTCTCTTCCCCCCTTCAAAATGGAAGGGATTTATCCCCATGATTCTCTGTCTTCTCCTAAATATGGTAAGCATCTTTCTATTTTTTTTAAATATTATTTTTTATATTAAAATAGGTGCTTACTCTCTCTTCCCCTCCTAAAATAGGTGTGTAATCTATCTCTCAAAGATAAGAATATATCCTACAATCTCTATAGAATTAGGGCCGCTTCTTATTTTAGCAACGTGCATCCACCCTTGTGCTTTTTCTTTCAATGTCCTTTCCACGTCTTTCTCTCCCTTAAATGTATGTTTATGTACTCTGGGTTTCTCTCTTTATCTCTTTCCCTATATAAATTCTCTCTCAATGTCCTCTCCACATCTCTCTCTTTTAAAGATATAATTAGGCACTCGGGTTTCTCTCTTCCCCCCCTTAAAAATGGGAAGCTTTTTATTCCCATGGTTCTCTTTCTCTCTCTTTCTCCTAAAATAGATGTGTGATCTATCTTTCAAAGTTAAGAATGTATCTTACAATCTCTATAGAATTATGGTCGTTTCTTATTTTATCGACATATTGTTGTGGCTTCATATTGTAGTTATAGATATATCGATATCATATCATGCAATATACCTTAGTATAAAATATAGATACCATATCATACAATATTCCAACTTATTCCTAACATACATGTCATGCCATAACACATATAATACATTATAATATGAACTAATAATATAATATTAGTGTATTATTTTATAATAACTAATAACCATCACATACCGTAACCGAACCATAGTTTATTCCAAACCTCGAACCTTCCTTTCGGAGACGAGGCGGCATGGAGGTTTACCTTTTAATCGTAGATGTTGATTGCCATAAGTGCTAGTCAAGCTCGACTACTGCCACAAAGGAATAAACACACTAGAATAATGTAGTCTATGCTTCTCCACTATATATATCTTTCTTATATTCCTCATCTCCCAGCCGTCCAATAAGAATGGAGGACTATGGGCCAGTTTGGATGTCATAGAAAAAAGTATTCATAGCAAAAAAAATGCAATTTTTTCCATCTCAATTAGAAAACATTCTCGTTTTATTTTATTATATTGGTAAAGTGTTTGGATGTAAAATTTCATTTACTTGTAAAAAAAAAAAAAAATCAAGGCCAGTGAATTTCACTATGCTTGCCCTGCCCCTTTTCTCCCAGCGCCTCTCAAACCCCCTACATTTCTAGAGAGCGAGAGAGGGAGGGGACGATGGAGAGGATCCAAGAACTAACGTTTCTCGCCCTTTTAGGGAGCTTTGCATTGGAGAAGCTCGGGCGACAGTTAATCCTACAAAATCCACCATCGATCTCAGAGAACTTGACCTTATGACGCCTTTGTTGTGGAATTGGAAGCCACTCTTCTCTTCTTGTGAAATGTCAGGCATGCTCTCCTTTATTAATGACCCCTAAACCTAAAACAATTCCCATGTCAGGATGTTAGGTAAAGAGGGAAAATCGAGGGTGGGGAACAACTGGGTTCAATGAAAGAAAGTGGGAAGATTGGAACCTGAGTTTTCCATAGAGAAGCTGAGATTTTCCAAGAGAGAGAATGAGAAAGGAGAGAAGCACATGGTTGAGGAAGTAGCTGCGGACTTGGGGTTTCGAGAGAGAGAGAGAGGGGGGCTCCTAGGGTTTCTAGAGAGAGAGAGAGTTGGGGGCTCCTGGGGTTTCAATAGAGAGAGAATTGAAAAATACTATCTGAACCCACAAAGCAACAAGAACAGAAGTCGAGAGAGAAAAAAGCGCATGGGAACTAAGAATGGGCAATATGAGAGATGGTGAAGTGTAAGTCCTATCATCACAAAAGCACTCCAAAAAATTCACAATCTCAAATTCCATGGATGACTTTCCTTTACAAATACAGGGATCAACAAGGCTCATAAGGAGGTATGAATTCATTAGGGTTTTGATCTAGTGCTTCTACTCCTTGGGTTACAATAAAGATGCTTCTCTCTTAGAAGAAGAAACAGGCATCGCTCTATAGAGATAGATCGAGGGCCATGACCATGGCCATTGGGTGTAGAGAGAGCAGGGTTTTGCAGAGGAAGTTTAGGGGCATGGCCATTGGGTGTAGAGAGAGAAAGGTTTCGCTGAGGAATTTGGGGCGATGGGAGAGAGGAAGTTTGGGGCCATTGGGTGTAGAGCAGAGGAAGTTTGGGGCGATGGGAGAGAGGAAGTTTGGGGCCATGGCCATTGGGTGCAGAGAGAGAAGGGTTTCGTAGGGAGGAGAGGGAAGAGCGTGATGATAGAGAGAGGGGCATGTGAAACGCAACTCAAGCCAAAAAAATTCAAGTCTAAGTTGAATTTTTTTGGATGGCATTTTTTGCCTTGATATGAGATTTTTTTTTTTTCAATCTAAAAATCTGGAAAAAAGGTACAGCTGTCCAAACGGTAAAAATTCATTTCAAAAGATTTTTCCATTGCAATCCAAAAATATTCAAATTTTAGGTACATCCAATTTGGCCCTAAGATAGCCACAATCAGAATATCACGATTATACACTATTTTATTTTTAAATTTTTTTTTTTAATATTTTGACACCAAATTTTGGGCATCCACTCCTCTATTAAACTCGCACCAGCAAAAATATAAAAAAATAAATTTCAAAAAAATGATCAAAATACCCTTGAAAGTTTCATGTGTATTTTAGGCATTTTATTTTTTAAAAATATTTTATAATATTACATTTTGGTACGACCCATTGAGAGATGACACATACCAAATTTTATCTTCAAAGGATTTGTACAAAAAATTTAAAAATGAAATACTCTGAGACATCAAGTTTGGAATATTCGACCAGTGGCTCACTAGTGGCATTTTTAGACATGGAACCTTGACCATCCATTCTTTCTATGAAACGTAGGCTCGAGCCAATGTAGCCTTGGGCCATACACAGAGCGGTATGAGGTTTGGGACTTTGGACATGTGTGAATGTGGCTTAAGGCCGTCTAAGGCCAAAGACAGAGCGTTCTGAGGTCTAGGACCTCAGATCATTGTCAATGAGGCCCAAGGACACAGATACAGTGATCCGAAGTCTGGGACCTCAGACTGGTGTCGTTGTGCCCTAAAGGCCAAAAACGGAGTAGTCTGAGGTCCTAGACCTTCGACCAGAGGTCCAATGTCAATGTTCAAAAAAGATCAAAATGTCAATGTTAAAAAAAAGTAAAAAAAGAAGAAATAAAAACTGGTATGATGTTTATAACATCATTCCAAGGGGGAAAATTGGAAAAAAAACATAGAGGACTGACCTTTTGTGTAATTTTCAAGAAAAATGGCTCTTTCTGTATTTTCTTTTTTTCCTTTTTTGGTAATTCAGTGGGAAAGACATGCCTCCACTTATTTTTTTCAAGTAGATTAGGAGTTAACTTTTTGAAGGTGTTGTTGGGGTGGTGATCTTAGTGATGGAAATGAAAACCACAACGTCGTGATTAGGGTGTGGGGGTGCTACCACCACGACCTAGGCCTCTTTCCCAATTTTGTTTTAGTTTCCCTACATCAATTACTCACAAAAGAAAAAGAAGTTGGTTCATTTCAAGCTAGTGAGCCCCACATCCATAGATTCCACGCCGTCCACTTCTAGCAAGCGAGCCCCACATCCATAGGTTCCAGGCCGTCCACGCAACTGATACTTGCTATTATGGGATAAATAGCAAGTCAGAGACTTACATCTTTGCAAAGCATACACTTCCGATCATAACAACGTGCCCATGGAGCAAGCCTTCTGGTCAACAGCAGCATGTGCCCTCTCTCTGCTACTCTATGCCCTAGCGCTCATGGTTCTCATTAGGAAGCGCCATTCTCACCTTCCTCCTGGCCCAAAGGGCCTCCCCATGGTTGGGAGCCTCCACAGGCTAGGCAGCAGGGCACACGAGGCCCTTGCTGCACTTGCGGAGACCCATGGCTCCCTCATGACCTTGCAGCTTGGATTTGTGACAACAATTGTTGTTTCATCATCTGAGATGGCCAAGGAGGTGTTACAGAAGAACAACCTTGCCTTTTCGGGGTGCACAGTCATCGAAGTAATGAAGATTAAGTCTCACCATAATGGGTCCCTAGTGTGGGCTCAAATTGGTCCTCGTTGGCAAGCCCTCCGCCGTCTCTGCAACACCCAACTCTTCACTCCCCAGCGGCTAGACACTTTGCGGGCTCTTCGCTACCAGAAGGTCCATGAGATGGTCGAGCTCATACGACAGACTAAGCAGGTAGTTGACATAGGGCGTGTTGCCTTCGTCATAGCCCTGAATTTAGTGTCGAACATGATCTTTTCGACTGAAATGGTTAACCCCAAATCAGGGTTAGCATAGGAGTTCAAGGATGTCGTTTGGTCGATCATGGAAGTATCTGGTGCACCCAACCTTGCAGACTATTTCCCGATGCTCAGGGGCCTAGACCCCCAGGGCCTCAAGGGGCGTAGCAACAAACTCTTTGAAAGGTTCCACCAGCTTCTCAATGTGATGATTGACGAACGTATACAATCCAGAGAGAAAGGTGGAGTGCCCAAGGGTGACTTCATCGACGTTATTCTTGACTCTAAACAGGAGAACGGTGTGGAGTTTAAGCGTAATGAGACCTTAGCTCTGCTCACTGTACAACACTACCCTTGTCTCTGCTATGATGAGAATGAAAAATAACCCACACACAAATGATATACACACACACATACACATT